CATCTTCTCCAACATTCATCATTCTCCTGTTTTTTCATGTTGGCCAATCTGTTAGGTGTCATGTGGTACCTCAGAGTTGTTTTGATTTGCATTTCTCTAATCAATAGTGATTTAGAGCATTTTTTCATGTGACTATAGATGGCTTTAATTTCTTTATCTGAAAACTGCCTGTTCATATCCTTCGACCATTTATTAATTGGGGAATGACTTGTATTCTTATAAGTTTGACTTAATTCTCTATATATTTTAGAAATGAGGCCCTTATCAGAGAGACTGGTTGTAAAAATTCTTTCCCAATTTTCTACCTTCCTTCTAATCTTGGTTGTATTGGCTTTGTTTGTGCAAAAACTTTTCAATTTAATATAATCAAAATTATCCATTTTATATTTCATAATGTTCTCTATCTCCTGTTTGGTCATGAATTCTTCTGTTCTCCATAAATCTGACAGGTGGACTATTCCTTGCTCTCCCAGTTTGCTTATGGTATCAACTTTTATATCTAAATCATGTACCCATTTTGACTTTATTTTGGTATATGGTGTGAGATTCTGGTCTATGCCTATTTTCTGCCATACTCTTTTCCAGTTTTCCCAGCAGTTTTTTGTCAAATAGTGAGTTCTTATCCCAGAAGTTGGGGTCTTTGGGTTTATCAAATAGTACATTACTATAGACATTGACTACTGTGTCTTGCATATTTAACCTATTCCACTGATCCACCTCTATTTCTTAGCCAGTACCAAGCAGTTTTGATGATTGCTGCTTTATAATACAATTTAAGATCTGGAATTGCTAGGCCACCTTCCCCTGCATTTCTTTTCATTAGTTCTCTTGAAATTCTGGAACTTTTATTCTTCCAAATGAATCTTGTTATTATTTTTTCTAGCTCTATAAAATAATTTTTGGTAGTTTGATTGGTATGGCACTGAATAAGTAAATTAGCTTAGGTAGGATTGTCATTTTTATTATATTAGCTCCCTACCCATGAGCAACTGATGTTTTTCCAATTATTTAGATCTGATTTTATTTGTGTGAAAAGTGTTTTGTAATTGTGTTCATAGAGTTCCTGGGTTTGTTTCGGGGTAGACTCCTAAATATTTTATAATGTCTACAGTAAGTTTAAATGGATTTTCTTTCTATCTCTTGCTGTTGGGCTTTGTTGGTAATATATAGAAATGCTGATGATGTGGGTTTATTTTATAGCCTGCAACTTTGCTAAAGTTGTTTATTATTTCAAGTAGTTTTTTACTTGATTCTCTAGGATTCTCTAAGTATATCATCATGTCATCTGCAAAGAGTGATAGCTTTGTTTCTTCTTTGCCTATTCTAATGCCTTCAATTTCTTTTTCTTCTCTTATTGCTAAAGCTAACATTTCCAGTACAATATTGAATAACAGTGGTGATAATGGACATCCTTGTTTCACCCCGATCTTATTGGAAATGCTTCTAGCTGTCCCCATTACATATAATGCTTGCTGAAGGTTTTAGATAGATGCTATTTATTATTTTAAGGAAGACTCCATTTATACCTATGCTTTCTAGTGTTTTTAATAGGAATGGGTGTTGTATTTTCAAAAGCTTTTTCTGCATCTATTGAGATGATCATGTGGTTTCTGTTGGTTGTTGTTGATATGCTCAATGATGCTGATAGTTTTCCTAATATTGAACCAACCCTGCATTCCTGGTATAAATCCTACCTGGTCATAGTGTATTATTCTTGTGATAAGTTGCTGTAATCTATTGCTAATATTTTTTTAAAATTTTTGCATCTATATTCATTAGAGAAATTGTCTATAATTTTCTTTCTCTTTTGACTCTTCCTGGTTTAGGTATCAACATATTTGTATCATAAAAAGAATTTGGTAAGACTCCTTCTTCACCTATTTTCCCAAATAGTCTATATAGTATTGGAATTAATTGTTCTTTAAATGTTTGATAGAATTCCATGTAAATGGCCCTGGAGATTTTTTCCTAGGGAGTTCATCAATGGCTTGTTCAATTTCTTTTTCTGAGATGGGGTTATTTAAGTATTTTACTTCCTCTTCGTTAATCTGGGCAATTTATATTTTTGTAAATATGTATCCATTTCACTAAGATTGTCAAATTTGTTGGCATATAGTTGGGCAAAATAATTCCTAATTATTGTTTTAATTTCCTCTTCCTTGGTGGTAGCTTCACCCTTTTCATTTTGATACTAGTAATTTGGTTTTCTTCTTTTTTTTAATTAAATTAACCAAAGGTTTATCTATTTTATTGTTTTTTCATAAAACCAGCTCTTAGTTTTATTTATTAGTTCAATAGTTTTCTTAATTTCAATTTTATTAATTTTTCCTTTGGTTTTCAGTATTTCTAATTTGGTTTAGTTGAGGATTTTTAATTTGTTCTTTTTCTAGTTTTTTAGTTGTATGCCCAATTCATTGATCTCCTCTTTTTCTATTTTATTTATGTAAGCATTTAGAGATATAAAACTTCCCCTAAGAACTGCTTTCACTGCATCCCATAAGTTTTGGTATGTTGTCTCATTATTGTCATTCTCTTGAATGAAGTTATTGATTGTTTCTATGATTTCTTGTTTGACCCATTCATTCTTTAGGATTAGATTATTTAGTTTCCAATTATTTTTTAGTCTATCTTTCCATGGCCTTTCATTACATATAATTTTTATTGCATCATGATCCAAAAAGGATGCATTTAATATTTCTGCCTTTCTGCACTGTATTGTGAGGTTTTTATGCCCCTTATTCAGTTTTAAAGCCTGTAAATCTGTGATTTGCTCCAAAAGAAGAGGTGGTTCTTTGTCATACCTATGCCCCTACTGTGTGTCTGGGGTATAAAGAGGTAAAATCAATACCAAATATAAATTCAATTCAACAAATATTTATTAATCATATATTCCATATAAGTCACTCTTCTAAGGGCTGAAAATACAAAGAAAAAAATAGGACAGTTCCTGCCCTCAAGAAGCTGTCTATTGAGAGGATATACTGCACCTATAGATGAGTAAATAAAAAGGTAATTTGAGGAAGGAGAGATCACAAAGGATAGGAGAAGATAGAGGAAGCAGATGGTGCCCAAGAATGACCTTGAAGGAAGATGAGGACTCTGATGCATAGATGGTACATTCTACTGTGGCAGATTGCTTATATGAACACACAATGGGCAAGAGATGGAATGTCAAGTTCAGGTAACAGCTAGTAGTAGTCCAGTTGGCTGGAACATGAAAGGAAAAAAAGGCTAGGATAGAATTAGTTTATTGGGGGCTTTAAATACTAAGTTAAGGGGCAGCTAGGTGGCACAGTGAATAGAGCTGTGGCCTTGGAGTCAGGAGGACCTGAGTTCAAATCCAGCCTCAGACACTTAACAGTTGCTAGCTGTGTGACCCTAAGCAAGTCACTTAACCCCAATTGCCTCACCAAAAAACAAATAAATAAATACTAAGTTAAGAAATTTTCACTTTATCCTAGAGGCCATAAGAAGCTACTGTGTGAATAGTAAAGTTGCACAGTCAGGCCCGTTCCTCAGGAATATTATTATGGCAGATGGAGTGGAGAGGAGAGACTGGAAGCAGGAAGAGCAATTAACAAGGATATTACAATGATCAGTGAGAGAGGGATGAGAGCCTACCTAAATCAAGATGATGGCTATGTAAATAGAAAGAAGGAAACAGAAGTGAAAGATGTCATGAAGTAGAATCAACAACACTTGCAAACTGATCATGAGGAATGAGGGAGAGGAAAGTGTCAAGGATGACTCTGAAGATATAAACCTGGGTGATGAGGAGGGTAGTGTTATTAAGACAAAAAGGGAAATTTGATGAGGGGAGGGAAGATGATGAGTTCCCATTGGACATGTTGAGTTTCAGGTAGAGATAATCTAGCTAGAAATATCCAGCTGGAAAAGTTATTATAGTATGCAGGATTGTAGTCTAAGAGAGAGATGAGGGCTGACTACATCATTTTGGGAGTTATTGGCATACAGAACATTTGAACCCATAGGATCTGATGCAATCACCATGAGGGAAGGGAGGGAATTGCACCACAATTGGAGGATAGGAAGTGGATGATGATTCCAAAAGACACTAGGAGGGAGTGATCAGTGAGGAGACCAAGAGATCTGTGGCAGGAAAACCTACAGAAGCAGACTATAGAGGAAAAGGGGTTGGTCAACAGTATCAAAAGCTAAAGAAAGTTCAAGACCAAAAGGGACAGAAACCAGATTCCAAGAAAGTAAGAAGAGAGTGAGGGATGAGTGAATGGAGACAATAAATATTTATAACTTCTATTCATACTCTTTTTAGGAGTTTAGAGGAAAGAGAGAGAGTGAGAGAGAGACACAGAGAGAGAAATATAGCTTGAGAGGTTGATAGAGTTGATTAAGATTTTAAGGATAGGAGATACCTGGATGTGTTTTTAGACATCAAGAAAGGAATCAGTAGTTAGAGAAAGGTTAAAGATGAGAAAAGAAAAGGAATGATAACCTCCTGGAAGAGATGGGGGAGGATGGAACAAAAGGCACCAGTAAAATGTTTAGCCTTGACAAGGAGAAAGGACACCCCTTTTTCAGTGACTAGAACAAAAAAGATGAGGGATAATGCAGAAGAACTTGGAGCGGGGAAATAATGGAGATGAGAATGCTTATGAAAGATGGCCTCAATTTTCTCTGTGTAATGAGATGTGAATAGTAGGCTCCCTATTGTGCTCTGGCTAGAACATGTCATGGAATGGTGAACCTGAACCCTGGCCACTTCCAGAGAAACATGTGGTTCAACACTGAAGGGCTTGTCATTTTGGGACAACGAAGCAAACCTTGAGTTGTTCCTTGATCTTTACACCTCATGACAGCTGAAGGAGGGAAAGGTGTGTCAAGGTTCTATTAGGGAGGATTGGCTTTTAGGTTAGGGAGAGTGACCCACTCAATGGTACTCAAAGGGACTATTTCTCTCTCTCTCTCTCTCTCTCTCTCTCTCTCTCTCTCTCTCTCTCTCTCTGTCTCTCTCTCTCTCCCTCCCTCTGTCTGCCTGTCTCTCTCTCTCTCTTCCTCTCACTCTCATTCTCTCTCTTCTTATCTGCTCATCATATCAGGACCCCTAGAGCCTCATTCTGAGCCCCTGAAAGGGGTTTCCCTTCCTTCACCTTTGAAACATGGTGACTGGTGGGAATACATGGAGGATGGTATAAGCTGTGTTGGTGAAACATCTTGGGTTGCCTTTTCTGTTTTGTTTATTCTTGAGTATAGGTATCTTAGTGGTAATCCCAGGATAGACATTTCTAGCCTTGAAGGCAGCCTTGTAAATTAAAGAGGTTAGAAGCTCCTGGGTCCTCAATCAAAGGTGGCTGTACTTTGGGAGGAATCACCAGCAACCTCACCAATACTTTTTGAAGAAGATGACCAGCAGCAGAAAGATGGGTCCAATCCATTTGGCTTGCCAGATCTGGACCTGACATTTGTTTGGACAGCACAGAGCTGAGGTGAAGGTGAAATGCTGATTAAGCAATCCCACAAAGTGCTTCATGTTTTAATGTTTTAAGCACTAGCCTCAATGAGAGACTAACAGTAGTTATGAGTTATTTTTGCTGTTTGTTTAAGTCTTGTCAATGTGCCTACCTAAGAATTTCTTTTGTGTGGAGGAAATAAATAGCAGTCCTGTACCTGATTTACATTGTATGTTGAGTACCTTTCTAGTCTTGCCTTCTGGGGAGACACTAGACATGAGACAAACCTAAGCTTTAAATGATTCTTCCTGGGACTCTAGAGTGGGAGTCAAGAGATGATCTCTGATTCTGTTGGTCAGGCTCTTCCAGCATTGTATCCCACTTATGTGCCAGAATCCAGAGCTAAAGCGGGGGGCTCTTTGGTAGAAAGGGAGGGAGTAGGAGCCCTATCCCTGATAGGGCTGGCATGGAGGGGGGATTGTTACTATTACTTCAGTAAAGAAGGAGATAAAATTGACTGCCATGAGTGAATGAGGAAAGAGATAGCACTGGAAGCTTAAAAAAAGAAGAAAATATTTAGAATAGTTAATGTGTGAAGAGAAGAATAAAATAGGGGATAGGGAGGCACAAAAGGATTGTCATGCAGTAGTGGGAGCCCAGCTAAGATGAGACAGCATGAATTTGTGATGGACCAAATGGCTTTCTTCCAATGGCTTTCAGCAGCTTAGCAGTTGGATCACAGAAAAAATCAGTGGTGGTAGTGGTGATCCAGAGTTCAGGATCAGAGGGACATGAGCAAACAGCAAAAAGACAAGAGGGCAATGGATTCAAGGGTGGAAGATAGTGCATATCCTCTGTGGGTATGATCTAGGAGCTCTCAGACCTCTCTGAGTTACATATAGGGTCAAGACTGTGAAAGAACAAAAACCGAGTCCCTGTCAGGAGACAAATTGGAGGAACTGAGCAACTGAAGATTCAGGTAAGGGCAAAGAATAGGTTTAGGAGTGAGACACAGAAGGAAGAATAAAATATTGTTTTCAGGGAGGGGCATTTCATACTTCAAGATCATAGAAGTAGAATAATTTTGGGGTGATGGGGAAAGCTAAGGTATGAGACCACCTCCTGTGTGTGGTTGAAGTGAATTGAAGATGCAGGTGATGGGAATCAGGAAGTTTGAAGAACTGGGAGGCCCCAGGCATGAAGGCAGGGTAGGAATGAAGAGGAAAATTTGAAGATGGATAACCGAGTCCTTGAGGGAGTAATGAGAGAGTATCAAAGAGTATTAAGGATCTCAAATGGGTGCTATAGATAGATGGGATGAGCCTCAAAGGAGGAGCTGTTCCTGAATGACAATAATAGAGAGAAATCTAGAAGTGACATTGAGGAGCAAGAGTATATATGTCAACTCTTTCTGGATCGAGATCCAGTGTCACCCGGTGACATAAGAGAAGGAACACCTAGCAATGGTGGAGTAGGGAGGTTATCTAGGGATATAGTATCTTCCAAATAGAGCCAGGTTTTCCTTAGCTCAAGGAGATAAAGTATGAGAGGAAAGATCTGGGGTAAAGGGGAATTTGTTAATGATACAGTGAGGGTTCCAGAGGGCATGGGTAAGGAGGAGAGCGGAAGAGGCTAGGAAGGGGGCTAGGGGTGAGGCATTGCTGTGTACGGGTACGAGCTCATGAACAGAGAAGCAAAGAAAAGCGGTTTTCACCTCAACATCAGAGGGAGTATAGGAGCAGCAGATGAAAGTTTGCTAGCTGTAAGACAGGGGAAGTTCCAGCTGATTGTGGTCTCCAACCTTCTGGGTCCCGTGATGAGTCAGCGTCGAGGCCAAATACAGGAACGTTGACTGTCTTAATTCAGCCTCCCAAAATTTTGAACTTTTATGGCTATTTCAGTCTCCACCACTGCTCTGTACTGAGGTGCCAAGATATCAGGCCAGGTACATCTTTCAGCTCTGTCTTGACTCACACACATCTGTCATGTATGCATTGAGCTCATATACCCTGAGCTGAAGAGTATCAATGAGGCTAGACAGTAGTCAGAGGAGACTTAGGGGGTCAAGAGATATCAACATCGTGAGGAGCCAGAGCAGAGGCAGGAGTTGCTGGGATGGGGAGAAGGGCTCCATTCTCATTACTGCTGCTGCCAAGAGAAAGAAGGACCAGGGACACAGAGAGAAAAGAGACACAGAGGTAAGAAGAGAGAAGATATAGAAACAAACAAAGAGAAAGATGGAGAAAGACGCACAAAGACAAAACAAGACAGGCAGGGACAGAAAGAGAAAGAGAGCCCATTACATAGAGGCACAGAGAAAAAGAGGAACAGAATGTAAGATAGAGTAAGGTAGTCAGATACAAAAAGACAGACAGAGAAGAAAACAGAGATAAGGACAGAGTGAAACAGAAGAGAGACAGAGAGAATGAGAGACCAAGTGAGGCAGAAACAAGAATGGGACATGCAGAGTTGGATTGAAAGAAAGACAGAGACAAAAACATGCCAACAAAAAGAGAAGCAGAGAGAAAAGATGGAGTAAGACATAAAGAGGGAGAGATTGACAAAATGAGGCAGAGATAGATGGAGGGAGTGAGAGGGATGGGGAAAGGATAGCAGAGATGGAGAGAGGCAGATAAAGAAGTAAAATGAGATGGAGAGGAAGACTCATTGCAAAGACAGACAGTTTGAGAGAAGGAAAGAGACAGATGCAGAGACAGTGATAGATTAAGAAAAAAAAAACCAGTGAGACAGCAGGTAAAAATAGAAAAAGTGACACTCCCAGCCTCCCTTCAAAGCCAAGGCATTTAAAATCCCTAGTTCCAGACCCCTGCCTTCACAGGGATCTGTCATCCTTCAACTGAGGGGTGGGAGATGTGTGTGCAGGCCGAGTGATCCATGGGCCTAAGGAGGGAACCATAGATTCAGTGCTGTATCTAGAAGAATCCCACAATATCCAGAGACTACCAGCTCCTTCCTTCACCCTGGTTCTAGTCTGAGTTCTACCACTAGTAGATTCAATGTGTTACCTCAGACAGTTCTGTCCCCACCTCACAGGGCCTCACTTTCCTAATCTGTTCTGAGCTGCATTTTCCTTCCCCTTGGCCTCTCCAGCCTACAAGAACACTTGAGATGAGGAAGGAGGAGGCGCTCATTAATGTCACTAGTCTGGACCCATACTGGTCTTTCCCGGGCTGGGCTGTCCCAATACCTGAAAATCCACCACTTCTTTGTGCTTGCTTTGGGCTAAGGCATTAAGAGGGAGCCAGGAAAGGAAAGTGTCATGGCCTGGGGCACCCAAAGACCTGAGCACAAATCTGGACTCCACCACTGGTTCACTGGGCAAGTTGCTACTCCATTTGGGCCTCAGTTTCCTTCTCTCTAGAAAAGAGATCTGTAATAATATTTTCCATGCACATCTCAAGGATGTGCACATCGAAGAAGTTCTGGAGGTGGAAGACTTTCATAAAATAGAAAAGGCTAGAGATGCCTGAGGTGGGATCAGAATGCAAATCCCCTTCGTAGAAAATCTCAGAACTCTTATTTCTAAAGCTTCTTAAGGTTTAAGTAAATATGCAAAAGGTTTATTTTCATTAGGTCATTTACAAGGTAGGTAATAGATTTATTATGTCGTCTTCTATGTACCCATGGTAAGTAGCAGTAGTCAGAACTTGAATCCACAGCTCTTCAGTGCCCTTTCTATTATCTATATATGTGTTTTAACCTAACTTTCTCCTGCTCCTACCAGCAACCCTCCCTTTCCTCCCCACCAGCTCCATTAGAAAAGAACTAAGATATCCAAATTTTCTATCTGCCTCAGTATTAAACATATGACTTTGTACACAGTAGATGTTTAATGACTGATGAATTAAGCAAAGTTGAATTGTATCTCTATGCCTTACTGCTACCTTGGATAGTAGCTTAACTTATCTGTGCCTCAGTTTCCTTATTTGTAAAATGAGAGGGTTGGACTAGATGGCCTCCTAGGCCCTTCTCAGATCCAAATCTATGATCCTGTGATCTTCATTTGATTAACCATCATTTATTAAATACCTGCTATTGACTGGGCCATGCATGTGCTCAGGTCTATAGAAGAGGCTGATGAAGAAAATCAAGGCCCTGCCCAGGGTTCGGTCTAGCAAGGGTGTGACAAGAGGGACATCCATGTCTATAGTGCCAGGCAGGGTATGTCCTAGGCCATAGAAGGGGCCCCAACAAAGTGCTGTGAACTGAGGGATTAGAGAGGACCTGAGGGAGTGGTAAGCAAAGAAGACTTCCAGACAAGGGGTGGCCCTTGAAGGATGGATAAGGTTTCAATAGTTGTTAGTGATAGGTAAGTGCCTTTCAAGAGGAGGAAAAGGCTTATGTGAACAGTGAGGATGTATTCAGGGGGATGGTGAATCCTGCACTTTGTTGGGGATGGGAGGAAAGTCTAGGGGAGTAGGGAAGGAAGATGGAGCTGATGCAGGAGGCTGACACCAGACTGTTTAGGCTGAGGACACTTTTAGAGGGGGGAACCAAGTGGAATAATGATAGGCTCCTCAGTGGGGAAGGGAGCTGGGCTGTAGGATGCCTATTCTGGACCTACTGATGTATAAGATGGAAGGCTGAAGAGGAGACTGATTCAGCCAGGGAGGGGAGGAGGCCTGGAATCCTGGGCAACTAGGGCCTTGTCCCGTCTGAGGGTACCTTGCTTCTGTTTCGTGTGTGTGCTGTCTATAATTATATGTGTGCCCATGACTTCCCCGGTTAGAATGTAAGCTTCCTAAGGGCAAAAGTTGTTTCGATTCTGTCTTCCTAATCCCCACACCCAGCACAGTCCCTGGCACATGCAAGGTCCTTAATAAATGCTTGTCCATTACTGGATTGATCAAGTGGAATGGGGGGTAGACAATCACGGGAGACTTTGAGGAGAAAAGAGGAACAGGATGTCAAGATTGACTGGGCATAGGAAGACAGCTGCCAAAGAGGCAGCTAGGCAGAGCAGTAGATAGAGCACTGGGTCTGGAGTCAGGAATACCTCAGTTCCAATCTGGTCTCAGAAACATATTAGCTATGCAACCTTGGGCAAATCACTTAACCTTTGTATGCCTCAATTTTCTCAGTTGTAAAATAGGGATAATGATAGCATTTACTTCACAGAGTTGTTGTGGGATCAAATGAAATAATATTCACAAGGCATTTGGCATAGTGCCTGGCACATAGTAGGTACTTAATAAATATTTATTTTCTTCTTTCTTTCCTTCCAAAGACAATGTCTTTCCTACTCAGAGAACAGGGTTCTGAGGGTCTGGGAAGTAAGTAGGGAGAAAAGAAGAGCTAATTGCCATAGGTACACAGAAAAGAAATAGAATGTCAGAGGTGAAAGGAACCTTAGAACATTGAACCTTAGAGCTGGAGGGATCCTAGAAGTGGAATGTTACAGCTAGAAGGGATCTTTGAGAACTGAGACCAACCTTCCCATTTTACAGATGGAGAAGCTGGGGCCCAGAGAAGGGAGGTCTCAAGGTCACACAGCAAGTTAGTGGCATAATGAAGATACAAATTTGGATCTCCTAAATCCCAGGCCAGGGCTCTTTCTGACACAACACTCTTCTCTCCCCCTGGGAGTTTCCCCAGATTTGTTTATTCTAGGGTAGGCACTGAGTAGATTCCATTTCACTCATCCCCAATATAAAGAAACTGAGACTTAGAAGGATCTATCCAAGGTCATACATGAACAAGAGACAGTAACTTGGCTAGAAAATAGAACTATTGGTACTCTCTTTAGCTGCCCACTGCTTATCCCGACCCGCAGGTTCCCAGGGAATAATCATTTTTCCCTTATAATGACTTATCTGGCTTATCTTACCTGAATTATTTTGTTTGCAGCGTCCTGAAGTGCACTGCTTGTCTGGAAAAGAATAACACAGTGAGAATGGAGAGAATCCTGGGTTCTCAGAGTGGGAAGCAATCTCAGAGGCTGCCTGGAGCTGATCTGTTACAACACCCTTAGCTGGTGGTCATCCTGTCTTCCCTTGCAGACTTACAGTAAAGGGAAGGATGCTCATCTATCCTGAGGCAGCCCATGCCACCTCCAGAAAGCTTTCATTGTTAGGAAGCATTTCTTTAATTTCTTAATTAAACCTGCCCCTCATCAATTTCCACTCTATTGCTCCTTGTTCTACTCTCTAGGGCCAAGCAGGACAGCTACGGGATAGGCAGCTAGTGGATAGACTGCTGGGCCTGAAATTCAGGAAGACCTGAGTTCAAATCCAGCCTCAGACACTTACTAGCTATATAACCCTGGGCAAGTCACTTGACCTGTGTCTGCCTCAGTTTCCTCAACTGTAAAATGGGGATAATGATAGCACCTACCTCCCATGGTTGTTGTTAAGATCAAATAAGATATTTGTAAGTGCCTAGAAGAGAGTAGGTACTTAACAAAATTCCTTCCTTCCTTCCCGTAGGATCCTGGGCAAGTCACTTAATATCTCTTAGCCTCAGTTTCCTTATCTATAAAATGGAGATAATAATGGCACCTACCTCCTAGGGTTATTGAGGATAAAATGAGGTCACTTGTAATGTGCTTTGCGAGCCTCAAAGTGCTATGTAAGAGCTAGCTGTTATTATCATGTCTTTCTGAAAATCCGTCCTGTGGATGTGATCTGAGCAGGCCGGAGGACAGCATGGCTTTCACGTCCCGGATTTTGGACAGCAACGCCTCTCTCTGCTCAATCTCAGACTGCATTAGCTTTGTTAGCTAACCCACCTCATTGATGATGCATGCTGATGCTGCTGTTCAGTTGTGTCTGACTCTCTTGGTGACCCCATGGTCATGGTGACCTCTGCTGTTCACAGGATTTTCTTGGCAAGGATACAGGAGTGGTTTGCCATTTCCTTCTCCAGTGGATTAAGGCAAACAGAGGGCAAGTGACTTGCCCAGGGTCACATAGCTAATAGGGGTCCAAGGCTGGATTTGAACTCAGGTCTTCCCAACTCCAGGCCCAGCGCTCTCTCTACTGAGCCACCCAGCTGCCTCCTTCATGACTCATAGTGATCATATAATTAATTAGATCTTTTTCACAGGAATTCCTGTCCCTCTATTACCTCTGAGTGATTGATTTTTTTTTTAACCCAAGTACAGGAGTTTTACTGGAGGAGAACTGTCCTGGGGACACCAAGACAGGGCCCTGCCAAGTAGAAGACTTCCAGGGGACGGGGGTAGGGCATTAAGAGACCTGAGGCTTTGGACAGAAGCCCAGACTGACACAGGTGAGGTGACCCAGACTGGAGAAAATTATCAATGTACACTATGTATACCTGGTCTGGTCAAGGCAAGGGCCGTGCCTCCCCTTCAAGCCAAGGGATCCCTAAGGCAGGGGTCATGTTTCTTCTCTCAGCCTTGGGGCTCCTGGAGGGTGAGGGCTGTATTACCTTTGATATACTCGCAGTTAAAGGTGCTGGCTTTGTCCCGGGCTTTGAGGTAGATGCGGACTGGACCTTGAGCCGGCATCGAGGCATTGACCACAAGGAAAGTCTCATAGGGAGGAATCAGCACTTCCTCCTCCCCGGGGAAGAAGGAATAGCCCTTAATAACTACCCCCTGGCAAGTCCAGATGCCAAAGAAGGTGTCTTCTCCAAACTGATGGGCAGCAGCATCCATAAGGGAAGCTGAGGCAAAGGCTCCTAGGCGAACAGTGGCCCCTGGCCCCACAGGCCGGAAGCGGACCCCATGTATGCCCCGGTAGACCTGATGGCACCTGGGCTGCTGCCCCGAGCCCAGCAGTCTCAGGGCCTCTGTGAGCAGGAAGTGAAGTGTCTTAAAAGGAAAATATCGGAGGTAATAGGCCCGGGATCTGCCAGCCTCTCTCACCGCTGCATTGAACTCTCGGTGCAGAGGGCTATTGGCAGTGTAGGCCAGGAGGGCCACGGCATGTTCGTCCCTGAAGCCCGGTGGTGGCAGCCGTCGAGAGGTAGGGGTCCCCTTTAGCTCCCAGTCCCGGCGCTCCTGCCAACGGGCAGCTGCTGATTTCCAGGCCTCAGCATAGACTGGGCTTGCGTTGAACTCAGTGCGGTTGAGGTCAGGGAGGGCTGCCTCCATGGCTGCTGCACAACCTGCATACTGATCGTCAAAGGAGGCTGGTGCCATGTCCAGGGGGGACTCTCGTGAGAAGAGGTCACGGCGGGAGACCTGGTGGCTCCAGGCCTGCAAAGGAGAAAGTATCACGTTATTTCAGCCCCAGTCCAGTCTTCACCTCCATGGCCCCAGAGCCATAACCCGTCTCCAGGACAGCTAAGGTCAAAAAGCACAACTCAAAGGGATTAGGGGCTGAGAGCATCCGACCAGAAGCTCTTGGAAGACAGGGGCGTTGTATTCTTTTCAGACTGAGGACTCCCTGAAGACAGAGACTGTGCCCCTCCCCTTAGAAGGGGGCCCACCTGAGGACAAGGGACAACTTTCTCTTCTTCTATCTCAGATGGGGACAGAGGCACACACATACCTTTGGGCTTTCCACTAGAAGAAAGGCTGCCAGCAGCAGGGACATGACCGTGTAGGCCTGCATTGTCCCTCAGTCTGTCTGTCCCTGAGAGCCCTAAGTCTGACCTGAGAGGTCAGAGCTGGGAGGACCTAGAGGGAAAGAAGAGGAAGAAAGAGAAAGAAACTGGACCTGAAAGTTCATATTTTCCCTCCTCATAGAATCATAGATTTAGATCTGGAAAGGACCATCTATGCCATCTAGTCCCACCTTTTTATTTTACAGATGAGGAAGCTGAGGTCCAGTAAGTTTAAATGATTTGACCAAGATCCTGCAGGTGGTAAATACAAGAGCCAGGATTCCAAACCAGGTCCTCTGACTCCCCAGCCCTCAGCCTTTCCATTGTACCTGACTGTCCTTCCAGCTACTGACCCATCCTCCCTCAATTCAACCATCACTGACAGCCTCAGATCCAGGAAGATCCGGGTTCAAATCCCACATCTGACACAAACAATTCCCGGTGCTCCAGGCAGCCCTCTTAGATGATAAATTGCAGAGAATACGCCAACCTGAACTGGTGAAAGGAATTTCCTTGTATAGGAGTTCCCTATGTCAAGGAAATCACACTGTCCCTATCTCTACCATCCTCAAAGTCCTTGTGCTCAATGCTGGAGATGCAGAGAGAGGAAAAAACAAAAACAAAAACCAGTCCCTGACCTGAAGAAGCTTCTAGTCTGATGAGGGCTGGGTTGTAGAATGAGAGGAGGGAGACAAAGTACTCTGAAGAAATGTAAAGAGGGAGGGGGTCAGGTCCCCCTTAGGGAGGGCTTGTGGCTCTTGAGCTAGGTCTACAGAAGGCAGAGAGGAAGAAATAAAGGAGAGCAGCTTTGAAAAGGTGAGATTAGACAGTAGCTAATGGTCTCATTTGATTGGAATGGGGAATGAGTGAAGGGAGATATTGGGAAATAAAGAACGTAAAAGCAAATTGGAACCAGAGTACAGAGATCTTTGAATAGCAGGCTGGGGAACCTGTATTTTATCCTGTAGACAGGAAGATTTCTGAGGGAGGGAGTAACACGGTTACTCTGCAGCTGGACTAGAACCATTTAGAGGGCATGAAGTTAAGTTGCATAGTGGATAGAGTGGTCGACTGGGACTCAGGAAGACCTAAGTGAAAATCCTGCTTCAGACACTTACCAGCTGTGTGACCCTGGGCAGGGCACACAATGAGTTGCTGCAGTATCAAATCAGATAATATATAACAGATTGTACATACTATATATACATATATAATATATATACACACATATATATATGCACATAATACATATATAAAACAGATTTTATATATTAAAATACTATATAAATGCTAGCTATTATTATTATTGTTGTTATCCAGGGTCCTTCCTGGATTTAGCAGTAGTCAGGTGCTTAAATAATGCTTGTTGACCTGACTGTGCTATGCCTACGAGTAAAAGTGGCACTCAAAGAGACCAAGTCTAGAAGATCAGCTCTTTTTTCAGCCTTGTCTGACTCTTTGTGACCCCATCTGGGGTTTTCTTGGCAAAGATATTAGGGTGGTTTGCCATTTCCTTCTCCAGCTTATTTTACAGATGACAGAGCTGAGGCAAACAGTGACTTCCCTAGGGTCACACAGCTAGTAAGTGTTTGAGGCCAGATTTGAACTCAGGTCTTCCTGATTCCAGGCCTGGTGCTCTACCCACTGGACAACCTAGGTGCTCTAGAAGATCAGCTACATTAGACTAGATACATACATGAGGAAGTCCATACTGGAGGTGACAGTTTTGAAAGCATTCAAGGATCATTTGACAAAAGATCTCAGGGAGTGAAAGATGCTAAAAGAATGGTAAAAGTAACAGAGGAGATTAATACCCCTCGCCCCCCAAAAAAAGATGATTAAGAAAACATTAGTAGTAACTATTGATCCATGCACCTACCATCTCAGCTTTAAGTCCTTACAAGAATGATCTATCAGAGGCATCCCTGATAAAAATATGAGATGGGAACAGGAAACTTTTCACAGATGTTTTTCTATGGTCAAACACCTACCTGGGGGCAGCTAGGTGGTGCAGGGAGTGCTTGGCCTGGAGTCAGGAAGACCTGATTTCAAATCCAGTCTCCAACATTTATGAGCTGTGTGACCTTAGGCAACTCACTTCATTTCTGTCTGCCTCAGTTTTCTCATCTGTAAAGTAGGGATGATAATAATACCTACCTCACAGGGTTGTTGTAAGGATCAAATAAGCTAATAATAAAATACTCTTAGCATAGCACCTTGGCACATAACAAGTAATCTTCTATACATATCTTAATATCTTATATTATGATTATATTATCAATTATATATGGATGACTCAATGCCTACAAAATGAAAAAAGACCTAAAAAGGAAAACCTCCATCACATTAGGTAAATCTTCTGTGGAGAACCTAAGATGAGAATGTACAAATGGGTTGCAACCTGAACCAATGGAGAGAATACTCATATTGATGAGAACATAGATCTGATCCGTTGAAATGAGAAAATACAATATCATATAAATTATTTCATCTATTCCTTACAACCCAGTGATATAGGAAATAATCTATCTATCTATCTATCTATCTATCTATCTATATATATATAATCTCTTAAGGTTTTAAAATTTTCTCATCTTGCACCTGTGAAGTAGAGAAAACAAGTGGTATTCTCTCCCACTTTACAGATGTGTAAACTGAGGCTTAGAGAATGGAAATAACTTGTCCAAGGTCACCTATCTAGTAAATTTCAGAGCTGGGATTCAAACTAAGGGCTTTTGATTTCAAACACTGGGTTCTTTTCAGCTACAGACCAGGTGGAATCCAGACATAGGGCACTTCCTCTTTGACTCCGCGCTTTTTCAATGGCTATTCCCTATTCCTGGAACATTCTCCCTTCTCATTTCTGGCTCCTACCTTCAAGGCCCAGCTAAAATCCCACCTTCTACAGGAAGCCCCTTAATGCTTGTGCCTTCCCTCTGTTGATTATCTCCCATTTATCCTGTATATAGCTTGTTTGTATGTTGTCCATTAGACATTAATTGTAAGCTTCTGGAGGGCAGGGATTGCCTTTTACCTCATTTTATATCCCCAGAGTTTAGCACAGTGCCTGGCACATAGTAGGGGCTTAATAAATGCATGTTGATCAGACACATAACACTCACTAGCTGTATGACTCTGGGCAAGTCACTTAACCCCAATTGCCTTTAAAAAAATGCATATTGATTGATTGTTGTTTCCCTCATTAGACTATGATTTTCTTGAAAGCAGGGATTATCTTTTGTCTTTCTTTGTATCTACTGTGACTAGCATAGTGCCTCGTACATAGAAGGTACTTAATAAATATTTATTGAATATTGACACCAAAATGGGAATGGTAAGCTGTACGAGTGAAGAAAAAGTTTCAGATCATGGTCCAGGATGACTTCCTTTTCTCCCTATCCTAGCAAGATATTAGGAGATTTGTATCCTAGAGTTTTCCTCTGAAACATCAATGAATCTGACTCTCACATTGTGTCATACTTGGATGGGCTCTCAGAGGATATCTAGTTAAATCCATATTTGAACAGTAATCCTTTCCTTTCCAACAAGTGGCCACCCAGCCTATGCTTAAAGGCTCCCAATGATGGGGATCCCATCGTCTTCCAAAGTGCCCCATTGCACATTTCAGAAAAAGCTGGACTTACACAAACTGATGCAAGTGAAATGAGCAGAACCAGGAAAACACTGTATACAGTATCAGCAACATCATGTGATGATCAACTATGAATGACTCAGCTTTTCTCAGCAACACAATGATCCAAGATAAGTATAAAGGACTCACAAAGGAAAATGCTATCCACATCTAGAAAAAGGACTGAGGGATTTAAATGCAGATTGAAGCATACTTTTTTCACTTACTTTGTTCTTTCTCCTGGTTTTTCCCCCTTTTGATCTGTTTCTTCTTCCACAACTATAATGAATATGGAAATATGTTTTACATGATAGTATATGTATAAACTATATCAAACTGCTTACCATTTTCAGAAGAGGGGAGGAGAGGGAGGGAGGGAGGGAGAGAGAAAAATTTGGAACTCAAAATCTTGAAAAAATGAATGCTAAAAATTTTCTTGATATATAATTGTGGGAAAAAATAAAATACTATTTAAAGCAAAAAATAAAAAATAAAAGTAAAGTGTCCCATTGCACTTTTGGATAGCTCTAATTTGTTAGCAAGAAAATTTAAGCATGATGCTCCTGAGTAGGATATCAAAAGGAAGGGAGGGGAAAGAGGGTTTATTGCCTGATGCCATATTTCTTAGTGTACATAGCTTCAAAAGTAGAAGGCCCAAGACCAGTCCTAGCCCCAGCCCTGTCCTGCCCTCCCCCCTGGCCTGGAATTCACACCCTAGGGGAGAGAACAAAGATTTGATTAACCTTGGTCCATCCCCCCTCTTCTCACAACTGTGCTGCAGTATAGACCTAGGAAGTGTCCCTTTCTGTAACCTGACTTTCCAGCCTCATTCCCCTCTTTATCCAAACTTCCTATTTTTCTGTTGTGTTAGAACCAGGAGTCATGGACAGAAGACATGGATTTTAGTCTTGGCTCCACTACTAACTTATTGGTGACTTTTAACAAGCCCCTTCCCCTTCTTTGGTCTCACATTCCTCTATAAAATGAGAGGTTTGGGATGTCTAAGATCTTGGAGATCTCTGATTCTTCTTTCTCCGTCTCTGTATCTCTCTGCATCTCTCTCTCTCTCTCTCTCTCTCTCTCTCTCTCTCTCTCTCTCTCTCTCTCTCTCTCTCTCTCTCTCTCTCTGTGTCTTTCTCTCATATTCCCCCACCCCTGTCAGCCCTGAAGAGCCTCTCCCTAGTAACTCTTCTAGCCTTCACCACCCTCCCTCTCAGTACAGAAATTTGCACCCCTTACCTGATCCCCTTCAAGGGGAGGGGAAGGCAGATACTGGGCTCCAGGGCTCCAGGCCCAGGGGGAGGAGGAGTTTTTTTATATAAGAACCCCTCTTCTCTCTTTTCTCCTCCCCTTTCTCCCCTTCCCTACAAATGCTTGGAAACTCAATCTCCCCCTCCTCTGCTTTCTATTTCTGGATGGGCTCCTTCCTGCCCAGGCCCCAATTTGGCCCTGAGTCTGCCCCTCCCTGGCATGTTTTCTTGGTTGCAGAATGGAGAGTTAGGCATACAAGTGTCTGAGATAAAAATAAATTGGATAGGAGACTGAAAAAAAAATCAGGCAAAGGACTAAATAGAGTAATAAGAGGTCTAAAAAGAAGTCAGGTAGAAGGCTGGAAAGAAATCTAGAAGGAAATCAGCCCGTGGAATGAAAATAAATTAGGAAGAAGACTGAAAAGAAATCAGAAAGACTAGTTAAAGAAAATCTAATGGAGGATTAAAAAGATATCAGGCAGTGGGCCAGAAGAAAACAAGACTCTAATTTACAGCATGCTGCTCTAGAGTTTGCAAACTCCATTCTCCTTCCTTTTTTCTTTTTTGAAAATGAGGATAACAATTGACTTTCTCTCATACTGCAGTTCCTCTCCCATTCTTCATGGTCTTTGAAAAGTCAATGACAATGGCTCAGTAATCATATATAACAGGTCTTTCATTACTGAGATTGTATTTCATTGGGCCAGATGGCTTGAACTCATCAGAGGCAGCAAGGCACTTTCTCTATTGTCTAACCTCTCTTGGATATTATTACCTTCTTAGTAGCCATATTTGTTCTGCCCTTTCCAATCCAAGGACCATTCCTTTTAGCAGCTAGATGATACAATGGATAGAACCCTGGGCCTGGAGTCAGGAAGACCTAAGTTCCAGCCTCAGACACTTATTTACTGTGGGACTCCGGATATGTTTACTTGTCATTTTAGTCTGCTTTAGTTCCTCAACTTTAAAATGGAGATGATAATAGTACCTCCTAGGGTTGTTGTGAGGATTGAAGGAAATACTACTTGTAAAGTACCTAGCACATAGTATGGATTTAATAAATGCTTATTTCTTTCCTTTCCCTTCCCTCTTAGCAGAGAAAACAGGAACAAAATAAGAATTTAGTAGCTATACTTTCTCTTTGTCATCCATTATCTTCATTCTATCTTGAGCAACAAATCCTATTCCTTCTTTGAGCCTTCCCAATAGAGCTTGGGGGGAAAACACCCTTTTCCTTAGCTTTCTTCATCAGTCACATTCATTCTGAGCAATGGCACTCTTTATGCTATTCTCATAGGATCCTGCCACGGTGTTATATTCATTCTATATTCCATATCAGTTTTCTAGAAAATCTAAATTGGTTGGTGAATTCTTGGTGCATTCATGTCCATTTCTTTAGATTACTACCCTTTTCCCTCCACACTGGAATTCTCTCTGTTTTGTGTAAACTTCAGAATTTCATCCTGGAGAGCTTTGTATCCCTCCTAGGCAGACTTCCCAGGTAGAATTTTAGACCTTCCTCTGAACATCCTGAAATCTGCTCTCCCAAATTTGAGAGTGAATGTAAAATTCATTCCAAATTTCTATTCCTTCCTTCTGGATCACAAAGACTAAGATAGAGCATTCACTCCTCTGCAAGGTTACCATCTTTCCACCCCTGGAACTCGTATCTACCTTTTAGTGAGAATCAGATCCAGTATAGAATTATCCCTTTTGAAGGATGGAACTTTCATTAAGACAAGTCAAATAGAAAAAAAGTAAGACTTCAGGGACTCCTGATATCAAGGATGCCACATTCTCATGCTGTCTCTCAATATGTTGCTTATAAAATGATTTATCTTTAAAATCATAGAGTTCAAGAGCAAAGAATCATAAAATCATTGGATTATTTAATGTCTTGGAATTTCACAGTTGGAAAGGACTTCAGGGGGCCCAGTGCATACTGAGCAGAAATTCCTTTTACAGCATTAGTAAATGCTTGATAACTGACTGAAGGACATACCTGCCAAGTAGCACTTTGTGTCCAGTACTGGCTTGGAAATAAACGTAGTACTGGGAATAAACAGAAAAAGTAAGACAGTCCCTGACCTCAAGGAGTTTATATTATAATATAGGAAAACAACACATAAAGGGGATTCGTGACCAAGGAGGTATGTTTTGGCCTGGGAAGTTATAGGGATAGTCACTGAAGCTATAACTGTATTTGAGTGACTTCTTTCCCTGAATGGTAGTGTTGATTTGATTATTGTTCCCAGGGCTAGAGGTGGAAAAGAAAGGAGGAGGGGAGGTGGAGTAGAGATACTACACTCATGAAGGAAGTCATGAAGATGGGTAGAAAGCTGGGTAGTAGGTCTGAGATTGGATTAGATAGGGAAAACTTTCATCAGTCAGGAGCTGAGTAATTACCCACCTTCTACTTAAATATCTTCAGTAGTGAAGAATGTATTAACTACACAAGAAAGGAGATCAGTGGACAGGGGAGTCAGACAGGGCCCCACCAACCAGAAAGGGTGTGTTCGGGCCCATAAGTGAGAGTCCCAGAGAGCTATGGAGACTCAGGGTATTGAGAGAGCAATGTAGACAGAGAAGGGAGATAGCACTTGAGCTGAGGGAGGTCGGGACAGAATGTGCCTGCTTATAATTTCTCACCAATTGTCCTAGTTCTTTGATTAGCCTCTGGCAGGACCCTAGAAATCTCGTCCCAGGGTCTATTTATAGTGGGACTGACCAAGGACACAAGGGAGCCGGGGAGAATGTTTACAAACAAGAAGTCACCTGATGTGAGGTGGAGGGATTACTGGGAGCTGGCCGGCAGGCTGCTGGATGGGCTATTGGCCAGGCATGAGGGTGTTGAATTCAGTCTCCTTTCTCAGGCCTCACCCCGCCCCGTTTCCAGTGGATGGCACGGGGGGAAGGGGAGGAAGAGAGGGACGAGTCCAGATTGGGAAATTATGAATCATTCACAGTATATCAGTTCAAGCCCCCCTGCCTTCTGGGAACCCTAGGGTTGAGAAGGAGATCCAGTGTAGCCTGCAGGAAACCTCCAGTCTTATGTGTAGATACTGTCCCTTTTCTCGGAGCGTCCATGCACAGGGAGGGTAAGGGGACTATTTGGCCCCGATCCTCTTCTCTCCTGGAGCAGAGATAGGAAAGAGGGACCTCAGTGTCGGGTTTCAGGGAAGGGGGGGTAGGGGTGGATCGTGGAGAGGACTATATATACTTAGGCAGGATTTTGTTTATCTTCCCCACTCTGGGACTGCGGTGGTAACAACTGGGACCCCAGACTACGTCCCTCCGGTTGCAGCAGTCTCCCAGGCTCCTGGCCCCAAAACGTCTGCTCAGCACTGTGCCCGGAGGTGGGTACCGGGGTCCCCATAAGTCTGCCTCGTTCCAGGAGGTTGGGGTGAGGCTGTGCCGGCTTTTGTGCAACACCCTGCCCCCAGACCCAACTATCCATTTCCCACCATGTCCCCGTTTCTCTCTTTACTTTGATCTCTCCTCATTGCCTTCCATCCTCCTAATCCCTCTTCATTTTCCCTTTTTTAGCCTCGTTCCTCAATTCTATCCTCTCTTTAATCGCGCCCTTTCCCATCCCGTTAGCCCCGCCCACTTTCTATCCTCTTTAACCCTTCCTTTTATTCTTTTTTAGCCCCGCCCTTATCCTACCTTAACCTTTCTCTTTTCCTGTCTTTAGCCCCGCCCTGACACCAACCCCTTGGCTCCTGCCCCTCGGGTCTCTCCTTAGCCCCTCTCCTTAGTTCCCCTCTTCTATTCCTTCAGCTCCAATCCTCATTTCCTTCACCAAAACCCCCGCTGTATCTCTTCTCTTTGTGTGTGTTTCTGTGTTTGTTGGGGATGGGGAGGGAAGGGGGTGGAGGAGGGGAAGGATCTCTCCAGGCTGCAAACTCTTGCAAACTCCTCCTTCTCTTACTGTTGGAGCACGGAGTTGGTGCAACCTGCGGTCCTAGTGCAAGGTCAGGTGGCTTCCCGGAGCAGGGTCAACTTCTGCCTGGCCTCCTGACAACCTTTCCCCAGCCCCTCAAGTGCTGTATCTTCTCATGCAGCGTTTGGAAGCTTGCCCAGAGCTTCAGGTTTCATTATCGTCTCTGGACTCCAGCTTCTTCATGATGGCTGATTCAGGAGAACTGGGCCCTCTGCCCTTGGCCCCAGGACTTTCATTATTTTTTAAATTGTCTTGCTCCTTCAGTTGCAACCCAAGACCCTTAGGAATTCCTGGCTCTGAACATATTTGGGCCCTCAACTCCAAGCTCTTCTGCCCCAATCCCTAATCACTTTTACCCTTTTCCTGCTTCTACCACCATAATGGGGATGCTGGTCTTCACACCCACTTCCTGCTTCCCCTCCCCTTTCCTCCCCTTTCCATGTACTCCGGGACAGAAGAGTGAGTTCACTAGCTGTTATTTACAAGGACTTAGAAAATGCACGGATTCAGAAATTACTCCCCAGATGAATAGCATTAGACACAGAGACAAAAGATGGATGACTGTCTCGTGTACCTCTAACCCTATTCCTATAGAATCCTTAAACTAATTCATTTCTCCTTTCTCCTTACAAAACAGGGAGGGGATAGAAAGAATGCTCACATAAAGTTTTTGTAATTGTTTTTAAAAATCAGAACTATTCACCCTGACACAAATTCACCCCCAATCTCCACAAGTCACTCCCTTTCCTTCCAGTCTCCCCCAGGGACAATGCTGCCCGCCCTGATGATTACACTTAGCTGCCTGGGCCTCAGCTCCCTCACACAGGTAATGAATGGTACCTCCATCCCCCATAGTCCTCCTCCCCTGGACCTCTAGCCTCCTTCTCCTAGTCTCCTCCTGGAATCTCCACTGTGCTCTGATTCTCTTCCTCCTCAAGTACTTCCTGGGACCTCCATTGTCCTCAGGATCCCTAGTCCTCTCCTGGGAACAGTTATTGTCCCCAGGACCTTCATAACCCTCCTGGGACCCTCTCTGTTCCCAAGATCCTCAACCCTTTCCTAAGATTCCTACTCTTTTCGTGACCCCTTTCTCTACCTTTAGTCACCTCTCAGGGCAGTTGGGGCAGGTCAGACTTGGGGTCTGGATAATGGGCTGGATAGTCTGAGTCTAGGTGGAGAGGAAGGAGGGAGGATGGAGGGACAGTCACAGCTGGGACTATAGGGAACAGGGTTAGATGGGACCTGGAAATAAAAAAGAAATCCATGCTTTCCAGCTTAATGTGTAGGCATCCTGAAAATTGGAGGATTTAGCTGACTTGTTAATTCTGTAGTATAGGTGGAGATCTATAAGGGGAGTGAGGGTGGGGTGCTGATAAGGAAGCAAGAACCAGATGGAATTTCATCTCAGTGGAGCAATGCAGCTGGGGGTGAGGTGTTCAGGGGGTGGGGTGTTCCTAGGTGACTTCCCCTGGGTCTCCCTTCTTATATTCACCTGTACCATGTGTGTCTCTTGGAAGTTGAATGACATGTCCCAAAGTTCAGTCACTAATAGTGTAACATCAAATTGGAAGGTCTCCAGGGAATGCTCCCCCCCCCAAATCTGTACTCGGCCCAGGACTTTTCATATTTATAATAACGATTTGGATAAAGGCAAAAATAGCATACCTATTAAATTTTCAGATGACACAAAACACATATGGAATTCTTCATGGAGACAGAATTAGATTTTAACATTTAATAGTGATAAATTTAAGGTCTCACACTTGGACTCAAAATAAATTTCACAAATGCAAGCTTGGGGAGACCTGGCTTGAGAGAAGTTCATCTGGAAAAGACCTGAGGATTTTAGTGGACTACAAACTTGAAATGAGATAGCCATGTCATATGACAGCCAAGAAAGCTGAAGCAACATTAGATTGCATTAAGAAAGACATAACATCCAGAAATAGAGGTAATAGTCCTTTTATAGTCGGCCTGAACAGACTACAGATAAAGTATTGTATTCCATTCAAGAAGCCACATTTTGGGGAGGACATTAATAAATTGGAGAGTGTCCAGAATAGTGAACGTCTTGAATCTGTGTCACACAAGGATTAGTTGAAGGAACTAATGATGTTTAACCTGGAGAAGAGAAGAACTGGGAAGTGGGAGGAAGGGAGAGACATGATATCTGTCTTCAAGTATTTGAATTACTGTCTCCCACAGTAGAAAAGTGATAAGGCATGTTCTGTGACCCCAGAGAGCAGAACTGGGTGGAATGGGAGCAGTGGATGTAAGTTGAAGGAGGCAAATTTGGGTTTGATGTTGGGAAGAACTTTCAAAAACAAGTGAAACCTCCTGAAATGGAATGCTTCTTCACGAAATCATGGGCTCCCCTCTCCTTGGAAGTCTTCAAGTCAAGGCCTGGATGGTCATTAGTTAGGTGTACTCTAGGATGGATTCTTCTTCAAGGATGGACTGGAATTGATAACTTTGGAGCTCCCTTACAACTCTAGAGCCTAGCAGAATAAGTCTAATACCTCTGCGTAGTCCTTCAGCTATACTTGAAAGTTATGTTTTCTCCTCCCTGGTTATGTGTATGGGGTGTTCAGGGAGGACTAGCACCTCTGATGTGAGGGGCTTGCAGAGTCCTTTTCAGGGCTGTTCACCTACCTTTGGTGTCCACCTGTCACCCAGCACACAACTGTGGCTCTAAGAAGCTGTAGCATGGGCAGCAGCCACACATCAATAAACTGTCTTGGCAGACCAGCTAAACCAGGTTGGGGGTAACTGATGGACCTTAAATCCATCTGTGAGTTAGGAGGATGTCTACCCCAAACATATTAAAACTTCCCCTGGCAAAATGGGTGGATGAGAGCAATTTGTTCCAACCACCATGAAGGGCAGCAGAAGTAATTGCTGTGGAATGCTCAGAGGTTGGTCAGACACTGCCAAGGTCATCCACTGCATTCTGGGCCATTGCCAGTCATCCTGACTTTTGTCTTGCCATTGGACTCCGATAACTCTGGAAGAGAAAGTGAGGCTGATGACTTTGGGCAACACTGCTTTACTTAAACCCAATTCTTGAAAAGTCAAGACATCACCCCATAATGTCATTGGTTCTCTTTGAAACAAAGAATAAACCACAACCAAACCTCAAAAGACATGGTTGCTTGACTCCACTTTGATTCAGCTACTCTCCTTTGGTCACACTCCAGTGTGTTAATATAGTACCTAAAATATGCCCCCTTCCCCAATTTAGCATAATCCTCCAGATCTTGTCTGACTAGGGCAGAGGAGAACAGGATCATCAACACACCCCTACTTTCACTGGCTCCTGTGTCTTTAATAATGAAGCCTAAGGTCAAGTTAGTTTTTTTGGCTGCCATATTATTAACTTTGCTGTGATAAATTTCTGAAAGGAATAATGAGAGAGGTGTAGCACCATCAATCAATCAACAGTGATTTATTAAGTGCCTATTACTTGCCAGTCACTGTTCAATTACTGGTGAATACAAAGCAATAAATGGAATAGTCCCTGTCCTTAAGAAGCTTACATTCTGTTGGGAGAGACAATGGGTATCATCTAAATAAATACCATATATATGTTGTTATTCAGCCATTCAATGCTATCCGACTCTTTGTGACCCCATGGATTATAGCATGCCAGGACCTTCTATCCTCCACTACCTCCTAAAGTCTGTCCAAGCTCATGTTCAACATATATGTATACTTATACACACACACACACACATACATATACATGTAAAGCCTGTGACCTGGCTAGCTGGAAAAAGAAACATGTGCTCAACTCTGAAGAAGTATAGTGCTTTGGGATAAAGTAGCAAAACCCGAGGGATCCCTTGGCTCTTCAACTCTCCTAATGGAAGATAGTTTCAAAGGGGAGGCAACTTAGCCTCTCTCTCCCTCTTCTTCATTCTCTCCTGAATGTATTCAGGAAGTGGGGACCGAGGGACTACCTAGGTTGTCTTATCCTAAAGAGCTTAGTCCTTTGGAAGTGAGCCAACATTTTCCCCAGAAATGGCTAGGTTATACAACCTTAGCAATCCATGGTGTATGTGCCAGAATAGATCCTGCTGTTTTACTCCCATTATACATAGACACTGTAAACACAAAGCAATTTCCAAAGAGAAGCACTAACAACTGGGATGGGGGAAAGATCAGAAAAGGCCTCATCTGAGGAGTTGTACTTGAGCTGAGTTTTGGGGGAATATTAGATGATCAGTTCTGACCCCATAATTCTGTAACAGAACAGTCTTCAATAATCAAAGGATTTGTGATATCTGGGGACATCCCTAATTTAGTAGATTGAAGTCAAGTTGATGCCCTCTCCAAAACCATCTTTCAGTGCCCCTGCCAGAGCATGGATTTAGGGGTAGAAAAACTAATTTCAGGGATAATTCTTAGGTTTTTCCACAGCAGGCAGTCCAGAACCAAATTGAAGGACTTGGAACCCTCCTTTCTGTCCATCTACTCTTGTTCATTCAATGATGGCAAATGGCAGAAGTTGCCCAGAGAACTTCAAGACTCCCAAATCATCACACACGCATACAGTGTCCATGTCACCTAGAGCCTTTATACTTTAGAAGTCTAAATCACACTTGCTAGAAATTTGGGACTGAAGGAGGTCCAAGAGGCCAAGTGGGAAGTCCTAGGGGTTGTGGAAGAAGGCTTCTGACCACATGTTTGTGTAGAGATTATAGTGAAATGGTTTGAATTTACTCCAGATAAGGCTAGGTGGGGACCAGATCAATGAGATTGTTTTGTATCTGAAGAAAAGCACCACCTTAATCCTCTGGCACCTATGTGAAATACCCTGTATGTGAAAATCTCCTTCCCCACATACCCTCTCTTCTGTCTTCCTCTCTCAACTCCCCATTCCCCCATCCATAGGCCCACATTGTCCCCATTGTGCCTTTGGGCCCAGCTCCTGACACCTTTGATGATGCCTACTTGGACTGTGTGGAGGAGATGGAGAAGGAGGCCACCCACCTGCTCCAGGAGGAGATGGCAAACCACTCCCTGCTCCGGGAATCATGGGGGGCTGCCACAGCTACCTGGGAGAGCCGGAGGAGGGGACTCACTCTGCCCCTGGGTTTCCGAACCCAGCATGCTGTGGCTATCATGGTCTACACCAATTCATCCAACCCTCTCTACCGGGAGCTAAACTCAGCTGTGAGGACAATGGGCAGGTCTCAGGAGGACTACATGAAGCACTTCCCCTTTAAGGCCCTACATTTCTACCTGATGCGTGCCCTGCAGATGCTGAGAGCTTCTGAGAGCTGTCAGGAGGGCCCTGGGCAGGAAGTGTTCCGAGGTGTGAGCAGCCTCCGCTTCCAGCCAAAGCAGCTGGGAGATGTCATTCGCCTTGGCCAGTTCACCTCCACCTCTGAGAAAAAAGGGGTGGCCCAGGGATTTGGAAACATGACCTTCTTCACCATGAACACTTGTTTTGGAGTCCCTATACAAGCCCTTTCAGTCTTCCCAGAGGAAAGCGAGGTTCTCATCCCTCCTCATGAGATTTTCCTGGTGTCTGACTTCTCTCAGGATGGGACCCGAAACCTAGTGACCATCAGGAGTCTCAATCGGACCTGTAGCCACTTCAACTGTGCCTACCTGGGGGGTGAGTCAAGGAGTGGGGGCAAGAACCTAACCCATCATAAGATTTACATCTGGAAGGGAACTTTATTATCATCTAGTCTAAGTCCTTTATTTTACAGAAGGAAAATGAGACCCAGAGATATTAAATGAGCAAACCAAAGTCACAGAGAGAGTAAAAAGCAAGACCAAGATTCAGTCTACTGACCCCTACATCCAGTGCCCTTCCCACTAGACCCCACTGCTCATTATGATTAATGTCTTCAAGTATTTGGAGGATTGTAATGTTGTAGAGGGATGAGACGATTTATTCTACTTGGCCAGAGAGCAGAACTAGGGCCAGCAGTGGAAGGGTGGAGTTACAAAGGGGCATGTAATATAAAGGTTAATGTAAAGAAAATATTTTCCCACAACAAGACATTTCCCAAAGTGGAATGGTTTGCCTTAGGAAGGGATGAGTTTCCAATCCCTGGAGGTCTTCTGGGGAAGATGAATAATTTCTTATCTGGGTTGTAGCCTAGAGGATGCTTAGGATCTTAGATCTATAACTGAAAGGGATCTCTGAAGTAATTTAATCCAACTCTCAAGTCTTATATATGAATACCTGAAGCCCAGGGAGGTTAAGGGACTTGCCCAAAGTCACAGGGATGGTATGCATCAGAGGCAAGATTTGAACCCAGGTCCTCTGACTCCCAAGTCAGTGCTTTATCCTGGTTGGTTAGGGAAAGGAAATTCTTTTCTGGTTGTAAGACCTGTGATTTTATGCTTCTGTTAGGAAAGAGGAAGACAGCATAGGATTATAGAATCAGAGTGATAGATTCTTCAGAATCTAAAACTTCAGAGTGGCAGAGTCCTTGGTGGGCATTTAGTTCCATCTCCAATGCAGGAAAGCCCACCTTTGCTCTAATGGGATCATCCATTCTCCATTTGGATACTTTTCCTGGGACTCACCACTTTGCTGCTTTCTAAGTCTGAGGGCCCTTCCCCAGAATTCAGATATCACTAACCTGCATCAGTCTCCTGAGACACCAGCTCCTCTTGGAGCTGTGTCAAGTCAAGTCCTTTTCTCAGGACTTCCATTTCCCCCTATTTTCTAAACTTTGTTGATCTTGGACCTTCCTGGCCCCTAAGCCTATTTGGTTCCCTTAGCTGCCCTCATTTCCCAACCACCTTCCTCTTTTTTCCTATTGCTACAATTATCTCTTTTAAAAGCTAAATTGAGTCCAATCCTCTCATTTTACAGATGAAGAAATTGAAGCGCAGAGAGCTTAAGTAACTTACCCAGGGTCAGAGAGCTAGTAAGTGTCTGAGGTGTGATTTGAACTTAAGCCTTTCTGACGCCAAGTCCAGGACTCCATACAGCATTAGATATCATATTCCATTATTGTTTTGAAGAAGATGAAAGTGAAACCTAGAGAGGGAAAGGGATTTTCCCAGGGTCAAACTAGTAAGGAGGTAGAGGAAGCATTTGAGCTCCAGTCCTTTGACTCTTAGTCCAATGATTTTACCATTCTCCCACACAGCTCTGACAGTCCCCACTTCCCATGCCTCCAGTTTCCACACATCCCAGATAGAATGAGAATGTTTTCTAGGACATTAAAAAGAGAGAAGAGAACATATAAATTCAATAGTAACATTTTGAAAAGGTAATTAGAAACTTGTCTAAAGGAAAGCTTCTTAGCCTTAGGCTAGAAGGTATGTCTAAGATCTCTCAAACTACAGCTCCTATGGACCTTGGTTAGACTATCATGGAATCCTTGGCCCTGGCTGATTTGAGGATATACAGAGGCAAGATGCTCCATTCCACAACCTTGGCTCCTCCCACTGGGACTGGGGACATTATCCGCATGACAACATGGTCACCAACCTAACTTAATACCTTCTTTTCCTTCCCTGTCCCAATGCAGAGAGAAACAAGAATGGATGTTAACAGGGTTCCTATCATCTCAAAAGTCAGAAAGATTTAACTCCACCCATGGGTCATCTCTAATGTTCCCAAAAGATGTCCCCTTTCCCAAGAGAAGGTGAAGCTCAATGGTTCCTATTGCTATTAGGGGAGTATATTCCATCTCTGCATCAACCCTGAGACTGAAAGAAGCTAGCCATATTTAGCAGGAAGAAGAGAACAATCAGATAGGATATAAAGACTCAGATTTTCAAGTATTTAAAGGGTGAACACGTAGGACAGGGTCAGACTTGTTTTACCTGGTCTTAGAGTCCAGGTCAAGAACCAAAAGGGAAAAGTTGTGGAGAGACAGATTTCAGCTTGATGTCAGGAAATATTTCCTCATAATAAGAGCTACCCAAAATTCTGGTGGACTCCCTCAGGAAATAGTGGGTTCTCTATCACTCCTTCAAGGGGAAGCTGGATAACCACTTGCCAGGAACATCAGAGAGGGTATTCCTACTTAGGTAGAGTCTATGAAGTGGTCCACTGTCTTCAAGAGCTCTTCCAGATTGAAGATTCTATGTAAGATATGTGGGAGTACAGAACTTGATCTCCAAGGAGAAAGAGAAGACAGCCCTCACTCTCAAAACCCATATTGGAATGAAAGAGTACACCTGCCATAAAGATAGCATGAAGAAACTGGAACTAGGGTATAGAACAAGGTTGCTGAGGGAAGAAAGATTAGCATCAGATCTTTAAGGAGGAAAAGACTGCAGAAAGGAAAGGGGGAAGGGAAAGAGTTCTCCTGGAAGTGGGGTGGCTGAGTGGGATAGCCTGTGTCAGGATATGAAGAAAGAAAAGAAAAATTCTGGGAAATTTTTGGGGCAGTGAAACCAGACTAAGGCTGTCATCTATTTCTCTTGGTATTCCAGGAGAGAAGAAGGAAGGCTGTGTATCTAACCCAGGTGAGTCCCCTGTCTACTTTGCTCTGAATTGGGAAAGAAAGAAGGTCTTAGATCTCTTCCCAGATCCAACTGATCCCTTCCCTTCCCTTCTCTTCCTGGCAGGACAAAGTTGGGATGCTCTGCTCCCAGGATCTTGGCCTCAGCTGATGCCAAGGACCCTGCTCCTGCCTCATGGAGCCTTCCAACTTTCGGGCCCAGTGCCCTGATCTTCCAGGTTCTGGACTGGGAAATTGTAGGGACCTGTTGGTCCCACTATTGTGTATGCCCGGCCAGGCTGACGGCAGCCTGGAGAAGAAAGCAGAGGAAAGAAGATGAAGATGAGGATGAGAATGATGAAGGTGTGTGGGAGTTGATCTGTGAGCCGTATCCGGGATCAGGGCAGGGGCCTCAGGCCCCTCAGACCAGGCGGATGTGGAGCTACAATGGGTGAGGCCACTCCACTTTGTGGTTGTTGCCATGGCCACCTCTCAATAAAGGACCTTGCAAAATGTCTGCCTCATTCTTCTAAGCACAGGGGTTGGCCCCTCTTTGGCTGGTAGATCCACTGGCCAGTGAGCTTGTCATTTGGTCAGCACCTAATATGTCTCAGGCAGGGTTTTCCACGCATTCTACTCTGTTGTGCTGCAATAAAGCAGTTTATTGCCTTTGTTTTAAATATTCTGCTGCCTCCCAATACAAACAAACTTACGCATCTCCCTTTAAACATTATGGGCAATTCATCTCCCTACCTGATTGCATTTCCTGTCCTTGTATGTTGCTTAGAGATCCAGGAAATTGCAGGGTTGAGAACCCAAGTTGTTTCACAACATGGGTTATATTTGCAAAGTGATTGTTGTTTGCTGACTTTGGTCAAACATGGGAAGTTCCAGTAACCACAAAAAGGTCTGTTTGAGAAGTCTAATTCCCTAGCCTTAATTCAATTCGACAACATTTTCTTAAATACCTACTTTGGACTAGTTATTGTGTTGAGGGCTGGAGATACAAAAATGGCACTCTTGCCCTCCAATAGTTTAGAGTCTATTAGGAAGGATACAGTATACACATCTGATAAGTAGATACAATATAGTGTTTTCTTTCCAGAACTGGTTAAGTTTATAGGTGTACACAGCCAAGATAGATACAACGTAAGACTTTGAGTGACTGATTTGAAAATACAGGAAAGCATCAGAAACAATGGACTTGTTCCTGAGAACACAGTGTCTCAATACCTTGCTTCCCAGCCACTTGTTTGCAGAAGGACAACAGGAGAAACCTAAGTGTCAAAGAACTGGGGGAGCTTGAACCCAAAGCTGTCTATTGCTTATTGGACAAATGGCCATAGACTGTAGAGATGAGATTTGGGAAATGTACTGGATGGTTTCCATAAAAGCAGCTAGCCAGAGCAGAGGTAGCTAAGTGGGCACAGTGGATAGAGCACCAGGCTTTGAGTCAAGAAGACCTGTGGTTTCAAATTCATCCTCAGACAATTCCTAATTGTGTGACCCTAAATAAGTCACTTAACCTCTGTCTATCTCAGTTTCCTCAACTGTAAAATGGGGGTCATAATAGCACCTACCTCACAGGGTTGTTGTGAGGATCGAATGAGATCATATTTGTAAAGCACTTAGCACAGGGCCTGGCACATAGTAGGTACCTGGTAAACGCTCCCTCCCCACCTCTGTAAGTTAAAGTGAGGTTTCTCACTGAAGGGACTCAACCTAGTTGTCATCAAAGGAAAGAAAAAAAGAGGCTTTGTCTCTCTATACTGTTGCTTGATGCCTGAAAGATGAAAACTCAGAGCCCAGAAATGCAAAGCTTTCTACTAATCTCAAGCTAAGGGTCTTTGTAGTCTCTGAAAAGGCACAATACTTCCCCAGCTGAGGACTTCAGCTGAGCCTGACACTGGAAGTAGCAGAAACTATACTTGTCATCAAAAAGTAAGCCCACTCAAGTTGAGGAACAGCCCAAGAGCATCCCAGTAGCCCAACAGCCCAGATGAGAGAACCCAGCAGAGCAACTCATCTTGCTTGAGATACTATGCCCAGTGAGGATCTAGCTCAGCTCAGCTTGGCAGCAGAGTCACTCTTCTAGCCCAGATACTACTACCAGAAGCAAATTTTGTGAAGAGAGAGTTCAAGAAAGAAAAGACATGGAAGACCTACAGTTCTGAAGAGATAAGGAACATTGAGGCCCTGCAGATCTGAAGTTGCCTTAGACACATGTGTTCTCTCCATAGGTACCTCACTATTATTGGACTTGAAGTTTGTGCCCACACTCCCTGTCATGAATATTATGTATTGGTGGGAATGTGGCACCGGGTTTATAGGAGGGATGTGTTATAACTATTGTTCTTTCTATGTCATTTGAGTAAATGCCTCTGTTGAGTTGTCTATTAGTTGAGTGTTAATGGGAAGCACACCAGTGGGGGCTCAGGACCTATAAGAGTCAGATAACCCTAGGACCTGAAGAAGCAGCTATTTCTCTAAGAGAACTCAATCTGTAAGTTATAATGCAATTTGGAGTAAGAGTTATGTAAACAATGTCATAACAACTGGGGGAGATAAGGAAAGCTGTCTAAAGGAGGTGGTAAGGTAAGCTAAGCTAAGCCATGATAAAAAAAAAAACAACAACAACAAGGATTCTGAGAAGCAGAGGTGAGGAATGAATTTCTGGCATGGAGGAGAGCCAATGTGAACAGATTCAGTCAGAAAATGAAATGCTAAGTTCAGGGAATGATTAGTAATCCAATTTAGCTGGGACATTCTGGGTTCAGAGAGCTAATTTCAGAGCCTAGACAATTGATCAATCTCTCTTGCCCATTTCTCCACATTTAGAAGCAAATGGACTTGTTTGTCCTTCATTCTTGAAGAGGAGAGATGCCATGACATGCAAGTGAATGGATTTAAGTGAGGCAGGGCTGTGTAAAGTCACCAGCCTCACTTTCTCCTCCAGAGCCATCTGAGTCCAGTGGTAAGATATAGCTCAGGATGATTGGAGATAGCCCTGGATGCGGATTTGGCCTTTTTAAGTTAAGGTTTTAACAAGTCTCAATTTGACTGAGGCAATGACCAATCAACAATTAAGGAGAGGTAAGAAATGAGACAGAGAATGGTCTCTTTTACCTAGTTAAAAAAAAATCTGGGAGGGAAGAACCTCAAGGTTTCTGGCCAAAACAGAAACAATTGCTATTTACATTCACTCTGAGCCAATCAGGGCCCAAACAATTACTAGTGGGGCTTGGCCTGGGGCCTATTGTTGGCCAATCAATGAGAGCCAAGGTGGTTTGGGTTTAAGCATGGTCCTTAAGAAAGAAATCTAGCCTGTAAACCTCAAGACATCTTTCAAGGTTTCAGCAATCAGAATTAGAGTTAGAAAATGAAATGTTAAATTCAGGGAACAATTGGTAATCCAATTTGGCTGGACCATTCTAAGGCTAATTTCAGAGCCTAGACAATTGATTAGTCTCTCTTGCCCATTTCCCCACATTTAGAAGCAAATGGATTTAGCACTGAACAGGAGGAGCTGAGGCTAAATTACCTTTGGGAAACTTCAAGGCATCCTCTGAAAGTATGCTTCCTGTGAAAGCAAAGGCCCAGCATTTTAATACCAGCATTCTATTATATGACAGAAAGACATGGAATAAAAGAGTCTCCAAAGAATTAAAAATGAATGTCACACAGAGGGCAATGGAGAGACATATGATGGCTGGGAGCAGGATGTAAAATATAATCAATGAACTTTGAAGAGCAGGATTGAGATATCAACAAGGAATTATATAAAGAGAAGATGGACTGGTCATAAGGCAAGGACAAGGGACGACAGGTAGACCACCAGAGTGCTCTACTAGGACCCTTTCAATGTCAGGAAAAAGCAAGGAAAGTCCCTAGAATGTTAGGTAGATTCCCCTGGGATGAACGTATGGAAGGACATAAATAAGATTAGCTCAGGATGGGAAGTCATGGATGAATTGTGATTTACATTGTTGGAGGGAACTTCTGAAACAATGAAATCATAGAAACATTTGAGTAGAAGTAAATGCTCTCTAAATAATTATATGGTCCACATGATTAAGAACTGAAAGAAAAGCCCACTGCATAACATGTATCAAAGTGAAATTTATTGAAGCATCTTGCAGAAATAACTGGGTCTCAAGATGGTGGAGAAAGGTGCTGAAACTTGACTGCCCTGGCCATCTCTCCCAGAATTGTGCCAAGTCTTCACGCCTCCATGTCAATGTTAAGCTTTTCCCGTCTGTGAAGGACAGATAGCAGTAAATCTTCAACATCAATATGATTTGAATCTAGGTTTCTCTTGCTTATATTGAAAAAAAACTTACTTTTTTTTAAGCAATTGGGGTTAAGTCGTTTGCCCAAGGTCACATAGCTAGTAAGTGTCCACCTAGTTCCCCTAAAACTCTCACTTTTGATGTGATTATCATCAAAGTATTGCTTTTGATCTAGATTTGATGGATTGGGTGAGGACTATTTGATGAAGGTGCAGATAGCTGAACTCAGAGACAGTCTTTCTGAATTCGTGATTGGTCTTTTGGTCAAGTTAGCCTTTGTATGCATTTAACAACCTTAGCAGCCTTAGTCACAGATAGTTAATACCTGGATGGGCTACCTTTATTAAGCAGTTGATCTAAACTTAAAGAAGATCTTCAAATAGCTACTGTAATCTTGGGGGTTGCAAAGGAGTCTGCGCAGTAAGGTTTCTCGCAAAAGTTTCAAAAGGAAAAAAAACTGTTGAATTTTTAGACAGTCACTTATATATGTCAAAGAAAATTATTAACAACATAAAGAGTTAAATACACAATATTTAATGAAATTATCCCTTCTGCTTAGGAAGGTAATCTCCCAAATTGGGGCTTGCACTGGCAATTTCAGTATATGATTAGATAACTAATGCAATCAATCCCACACTGTCGTTCACTACATCCCATAGCCTCACTCCTCCCAGTAGAAATTAATATGTCAATGGTACTTTGAATCTTGGGGTGAGCTCTGGCAGTCACACAAAACATTGGCTAAGAAAAAAAAGATCACCTATAGCAGAAATAGACTAAGAAGAGATAAAGCAGAGGTCCTTGAATGATAAATTCAAAAGTTTGTGTTTTATCCTAGAGGCAAAAAGGCAGCATGGAGGGTGTTTTTTATTTTTTTAGTAGAATGATACGGTCAGATCTGTGTGGCATATAATTATACCATGCATCAAGTCCTAACTAAAGCATTTCCTTTATTTTATTTTATGTTATTTATTTACTTTTTGGTGAGGCAATTGGGGTTAAGTGACTTGCCCAGAGTCACACAGCTAGTGAATGCTATGTATCTGAGGTCCAATTTGAACTCAGGTCCTCTTGACTCCAGGGCCGGTGCTCTATCCACTGCGCCACCTAGCTGCCCCTTTTATTTTATTTTTCAAATTCATTTTGAACTCAAATAAAAAAGACACAAAAAGGAGAACATTTCCATGTACACAGCACAACATAAAAAGAGGATTCCATATATATATATTTCTTGTTGTTGTACCTATAGAGTTCCTGCTAATGTCTTTTCCAATAGTTCTGGCACAGCATGAGTATCCATTTAGCATTCACCTTGTATGGAAGAATAGGGAAAATTTACCCACTTCTACTCTTCCTAATCCCAAATACATAAGTTCTGGAGTTCCCTGGAGTTGCCAAACTCAATCTTATTATGACCAGTGGGAGAGTAGTCTTATTCATAAATGAGTACAAGTTCAAATTTGTAATAATGCATCTTCTTGTCATGCAATAGAGACTAATGAATTTGACTTCTATTTCTTACAAAGGAATTTGGCAAAGGGAATGCTATGTGAATACTGAGACAGGGAAGCAGCAATTACTATCAGTTAGCATGGCTTCATCAAGAATGGGGTATTCCTGACTAACCTCTTTTCCTTTTTGGCAGAATTAACTAGACAAATTAATGAAGAGGCAGCATAGCCCCGGGGATATAGAATCAGATAGATATAGGTTCAGGTTCTGAATCTGACATTCACTACCTATGTACTTTAGGCAACTCCCTAGGACTTGTGTCCCAAGGCTTAGATTGGCTTTGATCTATATTGGTGGAGAGAGTTCAAACCAACATAATCACAGATCCTTTCTGTTGTATCTTCATGTAACTCAAATGGTCAATAGTGTGACATGATGACCAAAAAAAATATTAATTCTATCCTAGTCTATAGTATGAAGGGAATTATGATTTTCATATTAATTGATATGATATATGTAATGAATATACCAATAATTTAGATTTTTCAGAGTTACCATTTCACCAGCAGTGAATCAGAGAGTCAGAAACTCACAATGCAACTTAGAGTTATCAATCACTCTGACATTTCTGTGTTTGTGCTGTGCCTGTGTGCATTAAGTGAAGCAATCAGATGACCTAATGACCACCAAGACTTGAAACAATCAACTTGAGGACTATTCCCATAGGATTCAAGAACACCTGTATTATCC